GTGTGCATGTTGCAGCAGCAGCCTGCATGTAGCAGCACCAGTCCACAACCGTTCAAGATGCCAGCTTTAAAGATCGAGCAGTTCGATGACTACCACAAGACTGACCCGGTCAGTTGGTGGCAGTCCTTCACTATGGAGATGGGGATGCACAATATTCTTAAGCAGCATAATATCTCGCCGCTCTACGTCACACCACTGGGGCATGCCGAACTGAATGAATCACATGGCGGCGCTTAAGGGCATTTTCATGGTGGTGCTGCACGCCAAGGCCACTTGGCCCACAATGCCAGCCAAATGGACGACGTGGTTCATCATCAACGACGCATCGGCTATTGCCGCCAACCGCATCTTCAAGATGTTCCGAGGCAGCATGAAATCGTGGCTACTCCGGACTTGGACATGCCATTTGTGCACATTCACCGCAAGTTCTTCAATCATTCGTGCAACGCCTTGAGCCAGGCGCTTGGCAAACGCGACAACTACCTTGACTTCGATTCCACCACCGAGAAGGCACGCGCGATCATCAAGACCAATTGGCCGATAGCGAACGAGAAATCGCTACCGCAGACGCTGCATGTCAACTGAGGGGACTTGAGGACCCTGAGCCACTCAAATGCCAATTGAAGGAGACCAAGTGGCCATAGTCCAGCTGTGAAGCAACAAGAAATCCCAAAGGAAAGGGAAGGGGGAATGTTGTTCGCCGCTGGGAACCGGACAGCCTCCAACATGGGCAAAGTTCAACTGGACCGAGGAGGCATACAAGCTTAGGGAGGCATACAAGCTTAGGCAGAAGTACAAGTGCTGTTTTTGGTGCAATAGCACCAAGCATGCGACGAGCCAACGCATTGATCACAACAAGGAGGATGCTAAGCTCCACGGAAAGTGAGTCGACTACACTTCCCATTCTGCTAGAATTTGGCTGCAGGGAGCACGTGGATGCTGTCCAGTTGGTCCCGCCATTGGACCCACTTCTCCACGTGCAACACTCCGTCGCATGTGTGTTCACCACCGTTGGCAAGTGATTCGACTTCTTCAGCCGGGGACTTGAGGAGCTCGACCCTTTGACTAAGGGATGGGTGGGGGCGATGAATTTGAGGTGGAAGCGTGATGAGTTGGTGGTGGAGATAATGGTGTTGAGGCGACGTTGTTCATTGCCTAATCAGACAAGTCGATCGTGTCGGGCTTGTTCCTCAACAACATTAGAGAAGGTGATAGAGGATGGATTCGGAAGGAGGGTTGAGGAAGATGTGGCATTGAGGGGGGCGTCAGCCGACAAGGGTTGCGACGCCTCGGATTCGTTTGCAAGGATGTGCGGCACCAGAGAGGTGGGAGGCAGATGTATTGTCGATGCCAAATGGGCCACCGGTGGGATGGAGATCGTCACCGATGGGATGGTCGGGGTCGTTGATGTCGAGACGAGTTCGTGGTGGTCCTGGGGACAATGTTCAAGTGGAGGAGGGACCGGGAGTGGCGGCTGCGGAAGCGGCGGGTCGGGGGGCCACGGATCTGGGTGCCTGACGTGTAAGTTGTTCGACATTTGGACAGTTTGTCTGTTGATGCCCTAACTGTCGGCACCGAAAACAACCACCCTTGCTTTGAGGTAGGTGCGCTCCTCGGGCGTGAGTTTATTGAGATGGGTTGGGTGGGTGTTTATAGGAGGACGGCTGGTGCGTTCTCTCTTTTCCATCCGCACAAGGCGGATGGCGGAGAGTTCGTTGGAGGAGAGTGATGTGGTGTCTAGTGGGTCGGAAAGGGTGTCGGGGTTGGGGGCAGAGAACTTGTCCGAGGAGGTAGAGAGAGAGGTTTTGTTTGTGATGTTATGAAAGAATCGCGGGCGGGGTGGGGCGGATGTGAGTGCGTCCTTGTACGGGGTGAGGAATTTGTCTAGGTGAATGGCGTGGTTGAAGAGATCGAAGAGGGACATTGGGGGGTCGTGGACGAGGGAGGCGGCGAGGTCCTTGCGGCATCCCCATTTGAAGCGGGAGATAAATGCGGCATCGCTGACGTAGTCAAGGGGGATGTGTTGCCGCAACGCAAGAACGTATTGGACAAAACGGTCGGTCGGGCCGTTCTATCGAAGGTGACAAAGTTGCTCAAAGCAGTCATCGACCGTCTTATGCGGTCGGAATGTGCAGGTGATGAGGTTGACCCACTCGAGGAAGGAATGGGGTTCCGCGTTTGCTTGTTGGCGGTTAGCTCGTTCGGTGTACCACCAACGAGCGGCGCCTTCCTGTAACCTGGTGTTGGCAAGCCAGTGTGTGACAGGGACGTTGTGGATAGAAAAGGCGTCCTAGAGTTTGCTGAGGAAGACGAAGACGTCCTCGTGGGGAAGGCCGGTGAAGGGGGGGATGTCCATTGATCGGAAGGATGGTGGAGTGACCGCGGTGGCGGTGGTGGTGGATGAAGGCGGGGGTGTGGATGACGTGCTAGCGGAGAAGGCGGTGGATGTGGAGGCGGAAGATGGGGAAAGTGTAGTGGAAACCGAGGTGGGGGGGGAAGACGTGGTGGTAACGATCTGGATGGCGGGGGTTTGATTTTCGATCGTGGTCACGCGAGTGGAGAGGAAGAGATGTTTGATGTCGTCGATGGATGAGTGGATGGATGTCATCATGCGGAGGAGTGTCGCGAGATCGGTGGCAGCATCGGGTGTTGGTGTTTGCTCGCCTGCGAGGTTGTGGGCGATGCTGTCGACGGAGTCGGTGCGGATGCCGGACTTGTCAATGCTGGATGATTGGGCCATGGTGGGGAAGGAAGCGGTGGTAGAGGCGGGTGAGATGGCAGTGGCAGCAGATAAGATGGAGGCAGCTGCAGCAGCGTTAGCAGCGGCGGCGGCGGCAGCTTCACGTTGAGAGTTCCTAGTTGTGCATGTCATGCCCGGGAGGGGTTTCGATTTACAAGGGTAAAACATCATCAATTGATTTACCAAAGAAGGTAATTTTCGAAAAATAAAATTTGCAAAACAAGAATGAAAATAAATTAATTCCGATTCGAATTAATTAAAGTTATTCGAAATTAATTTGAGAATACGCCTTGGGAAAGAATATCCGCGGGTAAGACACAAAGATAACCATTTTTTTGTGTTTTTAGTTGGTAGTCAGCATTGAGCAGAGTCTGTTGATGCTCGTAGGGGAGGGGACCTGAGGGGAGGCACAGGGGTATTGGTCCTGTTGGCATGGTCCCTGATGCTACCGGCTGTCCCCTAGTCGGTATCGCCCACCTGCAGGTCGGGAGCAGCTGCCGCATGTTCTCTCGTGAATACGGTTCTGGCTCCTATGGGGTTCCGCATATGCCTACAATCAGGAGTAGTGGTAGATAGGTAGTGTGAGGTGAAATTGAGAGAAGAACATGGCATGGAGCAGAGTCTGCTGATGTTCGTAGGGGAGGGGACCTGAGGGGAGGCACAGGGATTGGTCCTGTTGGCATGGTCCCTGATGCTACGGGCTGTCCCCTAGTCGGTATCGCCCACCTGCAGGTCAGGAGCAGCCGCCGCTTGTTCTCTCGTGAACACAGTTCTGGCTGCTACGAGGTTCCCCGTATGCCTACAATTAGGAGTAGCGGTAGGTAGGTAGTGTGAGGTGAAATTGAGAGAAGAACATTGCTTTTAAGGGAAAAAAATAAAAACAAAAATCATTGAGTATTTTGTTTACGAGTTGGCTGGTGGTTTGTTATCTAGCTTGGATTCCGCTAGATTAGGGCTGTTTCATAATGGTGATTTGGAGAAAGGGTGGATTAGGATTTGTTTTAGGGTTGGGATTTGGATTATTGGTTTCGTAACCTTGGTTGGTGGTGCTTAGGGTTGCTTGATACTGGTGGTCTGGAGGGGGGTAGATTAGGATTTGACATTTGTTAAATTAGGGAGCGTGAATTTCGTTTTAGGGTTGGGATTGGGATCATCGGTTTCGTAAGCTTGTGAAGCTGTGGTGGAAATGATGTAAGGGACACCGGGCCCGTTTCTGGGCTATGTAAAAATTTGTTCAATTAAATAAAAAAAAAAAAAGAATTCGAAGGAGAAACTTGCAAAACGAAGTTGTCCAGAAATTTTCGTTGAAAATATCGAAAAAGGGAAAAAAAGAAATAATTAGTTATGAAGAAAAATTCCAAATTGGGTTTTAAATTTATTCGAGACTAATTTTTGGTGTATGATTTTACAATAAAATGTGAAAATTTCGAAACAGGAATTAATTAATTCGAAAATATTCCCGAATTTCCATAATTTTTGAAAAAGTATTGATCATAAGGTGTTTTCGAATTTCAAGAAAAAATTCAAAAAGGGAATTTTACTAGGCTACCAGCTGGGCCGCCCGGGTCCCGGGTGGCCAGCTCGTGCAAGGACCAGGGAAGGTCCCAACCAAAAAAAAAAAAAAAAAAATCCCAAAAATTCGAGAAAAAGACTATGTTATGCAGAAAAATAAACTGAACACTCAGGGTCACATTGAGATTTGGCACCAAATTTAGAATAAAGAACGAATTTCAAAAATTTTTATTTTTATTTTTATTTTTTTATTGTTTTTGGTTCGGCTGGGCAAGTGACCCCGGGTCACTCTGGTAGCCTAGGAATTTTATGAATTAAAATATACGAGAAAAAGAATTTAATTAAATTATTTTTGAATTTTGAAAAAGAAATATATAAAAAAAAAATAATTAATTCTAACCTAGGTGCAAGGAACATGAATGTGGACGAAGCAACGTGGCCATCCATGGATGGGAACAGGCGTATCTCTATGTTCTAGTATGTTGTTGACGTCCACGTGGCCATCCATGGATGGGGGCAGCATTGATCTTCTTGAGGGAAATTGATCTGTCTCAGCGAAAGATGCAAGCTTTGAGGCGTGAAAAACAGGGTAAGTGCGCAAGTGACCAGGGATACGGCCAAATCATCCCCAACTATGTCCAGGACTTCCTAGGGACCAAAATACTTAGGCATTAGTTTTCGAGAGATACCGAATTCTTGTCCTAGTTCACTAGCCTTGACCCAGACACGTTCCCCTACGTGAAATGAGGACCGTCGACGAGGTTTGTTCTCAGAAGCAATCATTGCTTTTTGAGATTTCCTTATGTGCTCCACAGCTTGCTGTAGCAACTTCTCATACTGCACACCACACTCAAGTGTGCCCGGAGTTGCAGAGGGTCAGTTTTCAGGCAGGAGGAAGTCCAGCGCTGATCTAGGCTTCCATCCCAAGTGCAGCTGAATAGGACTGACGCCGGTACTGCTGTGTACAGCGTTGTTGTACAGGCTGGCGATGAGAGGCAATTTCTCATCCCGGTCATCCTGGCTGGGCTTGATGTAATGCCTCAGCAGGTGTTGTACAACTCTGTTCATCTGTTCGGCCTGTCCGTTGGCTTCGGGATGATTCCTGGAGGTCATCTTAAGTTGACTGCCCAATTGCTCAGCAGTCTTCTTCCACAGCTCACTTGTAAAGCGGACATCTCTGTCACTAACGATTGTCTTTGGCAGTCCAAAGTCACGCACTTTGTCCATAAACAACTTGATGACATGTTCAGTCCTTGTCGTCTCTGGCATGGCAATTAGTCTAGCGTACTTGGTGAATCGATCTATGATGACAAAGATGTGCCTCTTGCCACTCCTACTGGTCACCAGGGTGTCCAGGAAATCCATGAAAACACTCTGTCCCAGACCAGCGGGGATAGGTAAGGGCTTCAGCAACCCAAGCAGTGCTTGAGTTTGCGGCTTGTCCCGCTGACAGACCTGACACGTCTCCACATATTTCTTTGCATCATCTAGCATACCGGGCCACAAGAATCGCGGTATCAGATTAGCGCTTGTCTTCTTGTAGCCAAAGTGTCCTGTTGCATCATGGCATTCCCCTAAAAATAAACTCCGCAAACGTTCCCTAGATGGAATAACTAATCTTTTAAACCCGGCCTTGTCAAGAAAGAGTAGCCCGTCCACCATCACAAACTCATCTTCTGTGGCCTTATCTTTCGCCTGCAGTTTGCGTATGATGTCCATCGCGACAAGGTCTTCCTGATAGGCTCCCACCAGCGATTGAGTTACTTCCTCAGAAATGCCAAATTTGGAAACTAGCGTCCCTAGGTAGTCTGCCCTACGTGACAGCGCATCTGCAACCTTGTTGTACTCTCCCTTCAGATACTCCAGCTTGAAGTCATAGTGATCTATGACCTCAATCCAGCGCTTGAGTGCATCAGAAAGAGCAGGTTGAGTCTTGGTCCATTTAAGGGTCTGATGGTCAGTTCTGAAATAGAAAAACCGTCCCAACAGAAAGTGCCTCCAATGGACGAGTGCCTTGTAGAGAGCATAGAGTTCCCTTTCGTAGGTGGACTTTGCCAGTTTCTTTGATGGCATTTTCTTCCCATCCTGTTGAGCCAGCACTGCGCCAATGTCGTATTGGCTTGCGTCAGTGGTCACAATGAAAGGCTTCTGAGGATCGGGCACCATGAGAACCTCATGATTCATGAGTGCATGCTTCAATTGTTTGAAAGCAGCCTCGCACTCATCACTCCAGTCCCACGGTGTATCAAGTTGAGTTAGATCAGTCAAAGGAGAGGCGACCGTGGAATAGTTTTTCACAAAGTTCCTATAGTAGTCGCACATCCCTAAGAAAGATCTGACCTCAGTAACAGTCTGAGGTCGTGGCCAGTCCCTAATACTAGCCACTTTCGCATCTTCCGACCTAATCCCTTCCGCAGATACGTCATGACCCAAGTAGAAGATCCTAGTGCGTCCAAACTCACATTTTTCTAGGTTGACCTTATACTTGTGTTGTCGGAGGAGTGAGAGTACAGTTTCTAAGTGTTGTGCATGCTCCTCGACAGACTTACTAAAGATAAGAATATCATCAAGGTATAGGACGACAAACTTATCTAAGTAGTCATGGAAGATCCTATTCATGGCGTGCTGGAATGTACCCGGCGCATAGCAAAGGCCAAAGGGCATCACCACAAACTCGTACAGACCGTATCTGGTATGAAATGCAGTTTTGTGCTGATCCTCAGGTCTTATGGCAATCTGATGGTAGCCGGACTTTAAGTCTATCTTGCTGTAGTACTTACATCCCTGCACCCTATCCAATTGGTCGTATATGCGAGGTAGAGGCTCTGCGTTCTTCATTGTGATGGTATTGAGGCCTCTATAATCAATGCACATCCTCAGCGATGCCCCCTTCTTGGGTACAAACAACACTGGAGATCTGAAGGGGGAAGTACTCGGCCGTATCCAACCCTTTTCTGTCAGCTCTTTCAGTTGTCGCCAAAGTTCGTCCAACTCGGCCGGAGCCATCCTATAGATCCTTCCCTTTGGGGTTTTACTCCCTGGAATGATTTCTATGGCATGGACAATCTCCCTATCTACGACTCCTGTGGGCTCTTTGAACAGATCAGGGAACTTAGCAACGACGTGTTCCATCTCTGGGGGTGTTTTGACGGCCTACCCTTTCTCAGAGACATACACTAGGTACATACCCTCCTCTTGGTTCTGTTTATAGTAATTGTAGAATGCTGATGCGCACAAGCAGCCATAGGATTCCAGTAACCTACTCGCCTTATACTTGGTCAGCCTCACGGTCCTTCCATCAGGCAACTTATGCTTGAGCACCTTCTTGTCCCAGTCAAACTGGGGCTTGGCAACCTCAAGGTAGTACATTCCTAACAACATATCGAATGGTAAGTCGTCGCTAACTAGGAATGAAATCTTATGATTAAGTTCCCCTGCTCCATAGGAGGAGGTACAAACTACATCCTTGACATAGTGTGTGACAACCATGCGTTCCTTATTGGCCAAAGTAGATGCTACCGGTCTACTAAGGTGTTGTACCCAGTCCTCTAGGTGCAGCCTTTCCAAACAGTCGCGACTTATGTAATTCCGCGTGGAGCCGATGTCTACGAAGGCTCCACATTTGCGGCCTCCTACAACAACTTCCACGACGAAATGTTCCCCTCTAGGACCTCTACTTAGTGCCACCCAAGATTCGCGAGGGTCCTTGCTTGACCACTCACTTTCTAAATCTTCTAAGGCCTCAGACACATCCAATGTACAGAGCATAGTTTGGTCTAGATGAGTCTGCAGGGTGACTAAAGAGTCGTTAGCTATGGCCATCTCATGAAGTGGGGAGGGTATCTGACCCACTTCACCATGAGTAGAAGCAGCTAAAACTTCCACTGACCTCAAATGTTTCCCGCGCTGGAAGCCTGGGAAGAA